TATTTGACAGGAGAGCCTCTTACCTAAAGAACCAGACCCTGCCTTTGAATGCATTTCCCTACTTCTAATTGAATCCCACTAGAGTTCTGTAGGACATGAAGCAGATGATCATCATACGATGTTTTATTGAATTTTCAGCATTATCTTAATAATTTGCATCTGTGAGGCAGGCTTTGCAAACAGCAAATGCACACAGGGGAAGATGGAGAGCTCTGCCCCTACACCCTTTGTGTTTGAAGCACCTCAGAGCCATTCAGACAACGTGCTGAAGAGTTAGAGCTGCATCACCTGAAATGGAGCATGGAGTTTATATGACAGCATGCAAGGAAGATGCATGTTTTTAATAACTGTCGTTCTATTCTACCTTTACATTCCGACATAGCTAATAATAAATTTAAGCAATTTGTATTTTATATCCTGAAAGCTTTATTTTAATAACCACATGCTCTTATATCACGGTTAGGGTTAGTGAACTATCTTCATTTAAAATGTATTTCCCTCTTTACAAAGAGTGGTCTGGATTAAGTCATACTCTAATTTGGGTTTGCAATAGCAATGGCCAGCTGTCCCAAACCTGTTGGTCACACAGGAGCACCTTCTGGCCAAGAGCTGAAAGGCTTTACCCTGTAGCAGGGGATGTTGAGTGGAGCAGAAGTCTCAGGGACCAGGGGCAGGATTGCCAAGGATGCTCCCACAGTCCCTGTTGTGGGCTGAGCACATGCTTAGCTTCTGTGCCATCTGCTGTCAGTGTCAGCAGCTCCCAGCCTGCAGCTCTGCGCTTGTGATCCATGGATCACCTCTGCAGTGCCACATCACCACCTCTCCTGCACCACCATAAGGAAATAGCTCGTCGCTTGTCTTGCTGTTCTAAGAGTGTTCAGCTTTTATTGATATCAGAAGTAATTCTTCTGAACTCCTGTCTTCGAAAGCCAAGAAAGCTTCTAAATTAAGTTCTTGCAGGTATCGCTCTTTGCATCTCCTTTCTGTCTTGGCCAACCCACAGGTTGATGTTTGGAGCATGGGACAACACTGTGAGAGGTCTTTCTTGGGTTTCTCCCCATTTGCACTTGTAACTGAATAGTGGCACACAAGAGTTAAACAGTTGCTGCAGTCAGGTAAGGCTATTTCTCTTCAGTTCTGAGTGGAAGAGAATGAATAGAAGAAAATCTCATTTGCCATTATATTTCTGTTTCTATTGAGAGAATATCCAGTAACGGAAATGTTGCTGTGGTTGAGGCAGAAGGCATCCATCTCTGCTGCTATTAGACAACCAGTGAACTCCTGTCAGAATAGCCTTCATGCCATTGCTAGGGCTAGTTTAACAGTACCCCAACATTTGTCCTGTTTCTCTATTATGTCTTTGTTACGGAGTGTTGCTGAAGTCCTTCCAGAAAACATGTTGTGCAGTTTGAGAGGATTTTAAGCCTTTGGAATGATTTTGCTTGCAGGTCAAGCATGGAGATTTCTAAACAGAGTCATTGCCTTTGAATAGCTTATCCTGCTGCATTACATCCTTACTTAGGGTATGTGCATTTAAAAATGTAGGGATGGTTTTTTTTATAGTGAATAACTCAGTAGTTTGTGAAGTTAGAACTTACAAATTTCTGTGTATGTTTGTGGGAGACAGTGCTTGAGGGATTTGGAAAAGCAGGTTGAAAACTTGGCTTGGTTTTATCACTGGAGTTAAGTGACTTTGAATCCTTCCTAAACACACAGGCTACTTGATGAGGCTGAGACAAGCATCTCTGGATCTGTTGCAGTGGGATGAGCTGTGTGATGTAAATAACCAAGGCAGCACACGAGATGCTGAGTGAAAGGCAGCGAGCTGATCCTGCAGGGCCTGAGGTCCTGAGAAGGCACTGCTTTCTTGTTGTCAGCTTGGGCGGCTGGCTCAATCTGCAGCTGCTCCTTCTTGGCTCCTGGCTGCGTCACACTGCTGTGTGGTGGAATGGAAGCTAAAAGGCAAGGGCTAAAACTTCCATGTATTGTATGTCAGTGGAGAATAAATAGTTTGGAAAATACCATTTTTTCCAATGGTGGGGAAGACATCAAAATTATAAACGTGATTGGGGAGTGCTCAGATTTTCAAATCCGGTGTGTGTCTGTAAGATGCAGCTCATGGCATGGGTCACTGCCTATCACTGTGAGCCTCTCTGACAGCAGAGTTTGAGAGTACAGGCAAGGTTGTCTGTGCACACATCTTAAAAATGGCTTGTTCCCTATCATGTGTTTCTGCAGATGAAACATTAAGAGAAAAAAAAAAAAAAAGATAAAATGCATTTCTGAGGTGGCAATGTTTATTGGAGACGTGCTTAATAAACAGAATGTAATAATAATAATAATAGCTTAATCGAAACAGTCTGAACGAGAAATGTCTGTGTCTGGCTGTGTAGTGATGGGCTGCTGTAAGAGTAATTGGTAACGTGAGAGTAAACTTGTTGCAAAGAGATAATTTGATTGATTGAATTCAGCCATGAATTTAGCTCTGTGCTCTTCTGTGTTGGAAGTCCCAAACATCTGTGCAGTGTTCTGAATGAGCAGGGAGAGGCTTTTGGATCGGAAGGGAAGGGCAGAGTCCCCTCAATTCAAATCACACCCCTGTTTTCAAGCAAAATGAAGTGAATTCATTGATCCGTTTTCATGAATAGCTATTAACATTCAAACCTGCCTTCTGTGTGTGCATCTGTTTTTCCTTTTAGTGTAGAAACAAGTTCAAATGGAATTAAATCATGCTCAAGGTTGAATTCTGTGTACTTTTACCCCCTGTAAACCACATTTTGACACAGAAAGCAACAGTCCTAACCGCTCTGAGTTATCCAGGTAACCTCCTCCCTTTTGCAGTCTTAATGAACAGCTGATGAAGTACAGCAATTGGTGACATTAGGGCAATGTAAGAAGAGGTGGTATTTTTTCCAGTTGATAGAGGCAATGTTGAAGACAATTGTGTTTCAAGATTTCTGCTTTTTGCTTTCTGAATTTGCTCTATAGCAGCTGTTCCCTTTTGGAATGGATGGGTGAAGCGTTTTTGGATGCGAGCCTTTGGTTTTTGTGTGGACCAGAAGGGGAAAGGAAGGGGCTGTTATTCTCTGCATCTCGTCTGTCCCATGCAGGATCTGGGGTTGTTTGACCCACTGACTCCAATTCCTTGCCACATGCATTCACATCATCAATGCTTTTCACAAATTAAACAAACTTCATCTCAAGACTGACCATCTCTGCTTTTCATGCCTGCACAATCACCGTGTAGTAAATGTCAAACTGTTGAAAGGATGCAGTGAAAGCAACTTTGTGTGATTAAATTACACGTTAGAGGAAAAAAAACACCACGAGCTTCTGTGAAGAGGTGTCATTTTTTCACCTGGGACAACACTTGTCATTTATTTACAATAGCATGTTTAAATTTAGTCATTTCAGGTACAGCTCGTAAACCTGAACCGAAATACCAGCAGCAGGAAGCTCCTCTGGTAGCTCAGGTGTGCAGTGTGCTTTTAGCCATATAATGGGATGTTGGATGGAGGAATTCTGTTTGGGAAGCTGTACTGCTGCAACCTCAGAGAAGTTGGTTTATTCGTGGAAAGTGCTGGGATTACCCACAGCTGGTATGCTGTGCTGGGGCTCGATGGAAATGCATTGCTGCAAGTGTGATCTGTTCCTTTGTTTGTGCTGTTTGAAAGAGCTGTCTGTCACAGGGTGTCTGTCTGGGACTGGGATGATTGTTGTTAATTCCAAAGGTGAAATTAATGAGGGAAAATGGACGTATGTATCATTTGGAGCAGCATGAGATTTGCTGCTCTGTGTTGTCAAGAAGCTTCCGTACAGAGAAGGCATGGCAGTGCTTGTATGTTTCAAAGAGAAAATATAATTAGTGCTCTACCAGAAAGATGGGAGTAAATGGGAATTTCTCCTTAGCTGATGATTAACATTCCCTTGGAAGTGGTCAGCTGTTGGGCAAACTCCTCTCTGCTGTTCCTATTTCGGTGTTTCAGGAACATCCAGCTATTTCCAATGCAGCATCATCTTGGGGCCTCTCTGCTCACAGGTCAAACCTTTTGTGGCTGCAGCTTCACTAGCAAACTGACTATTTTGTGAGAAATATGAGTGCAATCGCGGTTTCCTTTGTTGCTTAATACTCTACTCATGGTTTTAAGCGTCTGCATTTTAAAACTCCTTTAGTGTGCTAATTGGCTCATTTGTGATGTTTGAAAGTGGGGCAGATCGTCACATTCTCTGGAGTTCTGGTGCTCGACTTGGTGAGCACAGAGGTGGAATTAGTTTGTGTATTTCAGAGCTGCAGTGTGTGACGGTTTAATGACCTTGTGCACAAATCTCTAGCAACTTTATGGCTTCCTCTGGGGAAGTTCAGCAGTAACCTGCACTAAGCGTCATCCAGATTTAAAAGCCAGCTATTTTCTAAAAGAAATTAGAAGCTGTTGTTTTCTAGCTAACGTTTGTTTTCTTAGCATTGTTTGTCTTCAGATGGACAGAGCAACCAACGTGCATTGTAAGGTTCCCAAGACCTGTGCTTTCTGGGGGTGGGGTGGGCAGGGCACCAAGTGCAGATCTGATATGTTCACCTTTGCAGAAGTTCTTCTTTAAAAAGAAAAAAAAAGAGAAAAAAAAAAAAAAAAAAGAGGCTTTTTTATTTTTGTAAGCAATTCTTGCAGTCTTTTGCAGAATGTGGCTGCTTTAAAGCCACAGGATGTTGTTCTACCATCTGAATGGGTCTGCTAAGTGGAGACAGATCTTATACAACTTCTGTTTGAGTCTGAAGGGAGATATGGATGCACATATATGTGCTTGCATTTTTGACAAAAAGCCCATTTATGTCCATCCTGAGAAATGCTGTCCTGGGGAATCCTCAGAAGAGCACAGCATTACATTTCACTGCAGTTGAGTTCTTTGAGATGAACCATACAGTGACAGATGATTACAGCTTTGATCAAGTGCTGATGTAAACAGCAGATCAGATTTATGAGACAAAAGCTCATCACCATTCTAGATTGTATTAAGATCAGAAAAAGTTAATTGTGGAAGACATGCTGGAATACAATGATGATAATACTATATAGTTCTCAAAAGCAAAGCCATTTAACTTAACACATTTGGGTAAAAATCAAACTGTTTTCTGCATCTCCACATCAATGTGTTGTAATGATTTTTCCCCACTCTTACTGCAGTTTGGTTGTTTAAGTGGAAGTGCCTTCTATACACCAGCAAAACAACATCTCCGATAATCAAGTTACATCTGGAGTCTTCCTAGCTTGATAAAATTTTCTTCTATATTATCATTCATGCATGTATTATATAAAATAAAGCTCCTCCAGTGCTCAGCTTTTAATAATCCTGCTCTTAATTAAATATAAATCTGACTATAGCATATTCCTCTACATTAAAGTTGTCATAAAAACATTCTGAACATAAACCTTCCACGCTCAGCAGAGCAGTGCAATATATACACAGGCAGGCATGCTTCTTGCTGTTAGTAGTAAGCATTTTGTTCACTATTTGCACAGCTTCACAGTCAGACGTTCTGCACAACAGCCCTAAATCAGACCTCGGATTGCTCATTACTGTCGGGGATGACGGACGTCAGGGCAGCCTGGCAGAACCGATGTAACGTGGACATCTTGGTTTTCTGTTCAATGTACAGCCGCAGTTTGTCTCTGAAGGTTTCCCCTAGGAAACTGTAAATTAAAGGGTTCAAACAGCTGTTGGAGAAAGCTGCCAGGTTCACAATGTGTCCTGTGAGAGGGTAGTCGTGTCTGAAGGACGGGCTGCTGGACGAGGCGGGCTCACTTTTCTTTTGCAGGAGCTGGACGCTAATGAAGACGTTTTCAGGGAGCCAGCAGATAAAGAAAACCAGGACCACAACGAATATCATTCGAAGAGCCTTCTGTCGGCGGAGGCGAAGGCTCCTGTGCTTGTGTGCTTTTATAAGGACTCGAACGATTAACGAGTAACACAGGCCGATGATCACAAAGGGGATGATAAACCCCAGGGTTATTTCTAGCCACTGGATTTCTTTTACGTCTGCGAAACAGAAGTAGACCTCTCCGGTGTGTTGTAAGTGCACAGCCGTGAATGGCACCAGTGCTGCAGAAATGGATGCCATCCATATGAGACCACAGCTCAACCTGGCGTGTTGCATAGTGCGAAATAGGTTGGACCTCATTACTTTTGCCAGTGCTATGTATCTGTCAAAGCTCATCCACGTCAGAAAGAAAATGCTGCTATACATGTTGATCTGAAGGAACAGAGACATAAAGGTGCATATGATAGTGATATCGTAATACTTTTCGTCAAGATTAAAAACCTCAATGAGAGAATCAGCAACTAAAATGAGGTCGGCCACCGCGAGGTTGATGAAGTAAAGGTCTGGGATAGTCATCTTCTCACGAAAGCTTATGTTCACCACCAGAATCAGAATGTTTCCTACAAAACCGATGGGAAAAAGGAATATTGTGTAAAGACACGATAGGAAAAGCCCAATAACGTATTGTTGGTGTTCTGATTTATCTGCTAATCTAGAAGACAGGCTCTCGTTACACAGATGCGATCCGTTGAGGTTGAAAGTTGTGCTGTTACATATGACAGGTGGGACTGAGGCAGAGTAGGTTTCCATGGTTAAAATACCTGCACAAAAGATAACAGCACTCACAGTTTGGTAGTAATGCCAAAAAGATGAGGTTTTGGGGTGTTTTCAAAGCAGTGAATCGGAAGCATTTTGTTTGGAATGGAAGAAAGCCCGCACTTATAAATAGGAAATTCAAATTCTTCAGAAGCCAAATTAATTAGACTTGAAATTGACTGAAATACAACAGTACAAGAAGTACATTTCTTTCTTTCTTGTTTTCTTACAAGACACTATATGCATTGCAAATGAGAGCACTCGCAGTTCCTGTACGCTGTAAGATCACGTCGGGATCTTTTTACCATAATGGTACTTGGATCATTTCAAAGAAAGGTTTTCATCAGCAGTTCTCCTCTGTGCAGGTCGGAAGATGGCAGAATTCTAGCTCCATTTGTGTTCTGTTAATACTCATTGCACATCCTTGGACCTGCAATTTGCAAATGAAATACTGTTAATCTCATGCTGCAGCGTTGTGCCACGCACAGTGTGCTGCTTCTAACTTCAGGCGTGCAGCTGAGGCTGTAGGAAGTGTAGGGTAGGAAGGGATGTTCAACAGTTCTGTTAAAAGGATTGCAGTTAGCTGGAGGTGATACTGTGTTGTGAGGGCAGGTCTGGTAGGGCGTTATAAATCGTAAACCATTCAGTGTTGGAATATGTGGAAAGACAGAAATCAAACGGGAGAATTTGGCCTAATGAAGAGGGTCTATGAATATAAAGTTTATATTGCATGTGCGTATGGTGTGTGTGTGTGTTCAGTTCATCAGCAGCTCGTAAGCTTAATAAGTAGGAGAGTGGCTGAGAAAGCAGCAGAGACGAACAGCAGTTGGTTCCTATTGCTTGCAGAGGGAAGGAAATGCAGACTTTAGAAATGAAGGTAGTATAAGCAGCACATGGATTTACACCGACATCAGTTTGCTTTTCTTTGCAATTAATTATGCTACGTTGATTTCTGGAAGGGAATGAAAACATCGGTAATCCTATTTGTTTCCTATGAACGCTGAATGCTGTGGACTCGGAGCATTGCTGGAAGTTTATTTAAATAAAATGCATAAATAAAATGCATAAATAGCATGGAAATGGTAACCCAGGGTAGCTTGTGTTAAACGTTAGATATTTTGAATTGCTTTAACCTCCATCCTACCAGCAAAACTGGTAAAATTAGCGCTCAGTTCCACGTTTTAATGATTTCAAGTAGCGCTGATGCACAGAAGGAGCAAACCGTGAATGGAGAAGGAGCCTTACAGTATTTGTAGTCAGAAAGGCACGCCTCAGTTTGCTTCAATGTATTCATTTTGTTAGAAGTAGCCAGCAGATACTTGAATCAAAAGAGCTTTTACTTCCCAGTGAGAGCTCTAAGTTCGCTGTCACTGTTGCTGTGCTTTGAAGCGTTTTCATAAGGTAAATCTGCATGCTAAAATATCCATGTGAAATTACATGTATTTGAAGAAGGTTTGGTGTTTGTTTCAAGCAGATACCAGTGAGGCACGGACCACTGTCTTTCATGTAACACCCTTTTATCTTTGAGTAAGGCAGTAAAATGCTGTAAATAAAAGGAAGGTTAAGTTATGAGTCAAAGCAATTGATTCTGCATGGCAGCCCTGTGCTCAGGCTTCAGTAAAGTCTGAGAGCCCACTGAAACCCAAGCTACTGCAAACATTACAGGTAACCCCAGACTGTGAAACACTTCATTTTTACCTTAATTCCATTTTTCCAGAGCTGGTTTTCCTGCAGACAGCAGAAGGCTGCTTCTCGCTCAGGTACTCACTTAATGGATGTGTCAACTTCCACTGCCGTGCCAGGATAAACTTGCCTTTAGGTGTGCAGAGCTGCAGGGAATGTCACCTGTTGACAATTCAGCAGTGAAAACATCATTTCAAAGTCTGTCCTGTTTTAAAATGCCTTAAATAAAGGATAGATTACGACAGCAAAATGCAGATCTTGCTGCACGTCCTTGGTAATAAAACAAGCTTTATAGATTCCCAGGGTTGTTCTAATTTGTGTTCAAAGTGCTGCTGAACAGCCTCATAGGGCTGGAATTAACCCTGTTTCTGCTGGTTTCTTTTTTGCTGCATCTACTCACGCAGCTGCTGTCTCTTATTTGTCACTTTTCTTTTGCGTACCGTTCCTTTGGCTCTCCTTTTGCCTTCAGCATTTTTGCAGGCAGGGCAGTGTATTCAAACCTAGAGCTCAGCTGATCAATTATTAAGAGATGCATTTGCAAGTCACAACTGAGCCGCTTTTACACGCACACAAAGCAACAATTTCTGTTATACAAGATATTCTTAACCCCCCCGGGACAGTTAAGAGGAAAATATTGGATGGAGTGAAATGTAGCAGCTAAGGAGGGTCATTTACTAAACTGGCTTCACAGATTTCCGTTTTCCTACCTGCGAGTCAGTCCTGTGTCGTCTGTATATTTACATTTTCAGGTGTGTGTTGTCATCTTGATGCGTGGTAGAACCGTTCTGCTCAAAGGCCCTCGGATGAAATAGGTTTCTTTGCAGTGAACGTGGAGCAGCAGTGAGCGTGGAGTCCTGCATGAAAAGCAGCAGTAGTGCAGGTGGAGTTTTGCATTTCATCTGTAGGGGAGAAGAAGTGCTCTGACATTTCAGAAACACCACCTACTGGTGGCTACAGTTCTGAAGGCTGAAAGGAAATGTGTTTTTCTCCTGAAAGAGCAATTTTGTCTTTGCGTGGTTCACTTTTTAAGGTGATATTGATCTGCTAACTTAAAGTTAAGTGTCATTAATGGGCAGGCCGTGCTTCGATGCGATGTTCCACTGCTATTAAAGAAGTGGATTGGATCTCAACATCAGGGTTCCAAGAAATCAGTGTTATCAGTTCAGAGGCATGAAGTTGTCGTGTCGTTGTTCCTGCACAGTGACTGTGGATGGTTTGGGAATGCATTACTGCTTAGCTGAAGAGAATGTGCACACAGATGGATTTCTGGAGTCTTCCTGATGGGGTAATGGGGACCGAGGGCCTTAGAGTGCTTTGCTTTGAGAAGTGCGCAGCTGCGGTTGGGTTATAGGACTGCAGTAATTGTTGTGTTGGAAAGTCTTGTGATACCAGCTTTGATGGGCTGTTTTTCCTCTGTTCTAAGAGCAGGATTATAAAGAGTCTTTCTTGTTGCTCATGGATCATGTGATTTCGTCTGCTTCATTCTGTCCTTCAGAACTTGCACTGATCTTGTAAGGGCCAGCAGGATCAGTGTTTCCCTTTATGCCTAGAGGTGGCTTCTGGGTGTTCATGTTTGTTATGTTGGGGTCCTGCTCCAGCAATCAGCTGCCCTGTCTGCCCCTGGTTTTCTAACTGCGAGCATCAGCTGATTTGCTATCAGAATGTATAATGCTGTTATCAGTGCTGATTTTCTCATTTGAATTTAGGACAAGAAATACGTCCTTCTGCCACGCTTCAAGTGTAGGTAGGAAATGTCCTTCTGAAAAAGCCCTGAAGTAGCTGTTTCTCCTGCTAGGAGAGCTGTGAAGCATAAGAAGAGACCACATCTAATATGATTACAATGTAATTAGTGACTTCTGTGTTTCAGTAAATATTTTATGAGACGGTCATGTGAATTCTCTGAATTTTGTTTCCTAAAACAAATGACAGCATCTCCAGGCTCTTGTTTATGCAATCAAGTTATTGTTACTGATTAATCTATCTTAATCTCACCGTTCAGCACTTCCCCATTGAAAATGGTCACAAAGTGCTTACAACAAATTTTAACAGCTGCTGAATACCTCAGTCCCTTTTCCTCCTTCATTTGCTGATATCCCATAGGACTTCATAACGAGTGCCTCCGTGATCTGTATATTGAACTGAATTGTGACAGTATTACAGCCCTGCCTGTTGTGCCTTATTGCAACTGCTGCTGAGAACAAGCATGGAAGCAACTGGTGTGCTAGCCTTCCTGCCATGTCCTACTGCAGTAATCCAGCCTTTAGTGTTTTTCCTGGCAGTTGTTTTTAAATCTGTAGTAGTCAACTTCTTAAACGCTGTATATGCCTCAATATACATTGGCTCTGCATTGTGTTGAAGGAGCACTGGTGTGATTGTGATGTGCTGTGTTGTACCAAGAGGCTCGGAGTGAGGATAATATGATAATATAGGCTGCTGGAGGTAATTTAGCAAGCGTCAGCATAGGACTGCTGTGTTACCAAAGGAGTGATAGTAGAGGAAGAGCAAAGTGGGAGGTGAGTGGAGGAGGAACAGATGCTGCTGTAAAGTTCAAGTTCTGCGTGTAGATGGAACTCCCCCTCCAGGGCTGTCTCATCATTCTGTTAGCATGAGCAGCACCTGTGACCTTGTCCATCCGCTGTGTGACATCTCCTGCCTGGAGCTGTTGCCCTCCTCTGCAGTACCTCTGGATTTTATCCTGACCAGTCACAGGATCGCTACTTTTCTTGCACGTAATCAAGCATAGTTTGGATTGGAACAAATGATTGTGTTCTGTGCCTGCAGAAAACCTTGCCTGGAGTGTGTTTGTTTGTTCAGCCTTTTTAGTTGCCAATTATTCTGAGAACGCATTTTTCTTACTAAAAATACATTTTTTTAAAGTTCAGCCTTTGCAGGGACAGCACTTGTACCCATTCAAACTGTTTGGTAGAATCTTTTTGTTTTTCTGGCGCTGTGTGTTGCAAAACACTTCAAAGAGAGGAGAAACACATCCAGATTTTCTGTAATTGGACCACAACGTGATGTAAAAGTGGAGGATGTCATCATAGCACTCCAGTCTCCATCCAAATGTGATAAAATAGAATTCACAAAGCAGCAGTCCTTTCCGACTCCAGCAGTTGAGTCTGGCAGGCCTTCCTGGGTGCTTCGCCTCTCCACTTGTCCAAATGAAAGGATTTCATAGTTGTCACTAACTGATCCTAAATGAGAGAAGAAGGATTACAGTACTCTGGAAGCAAAACGCATTCTTTCATACCTGGTATTTAGTGAATCAACTGTTTGTGCAAAGTATATGGTGTGAAAGTTACATAGCATACTTGTTATGGCTAAATTGCTTGAGCTTTCACTGTACTGAGACCTGCAGCTACCTCAAAGTCAACACAAATGATGCTGGAGCCTTTTCTGGGTCTATAAGTTTGAAATTGAAATGCTTTGGAGGCTGGCCTTAGCAGTACAAATAGGGGTGTAGCAGCTCAAGTTATGATTCAGCTGTGCAAATCCTGTCTCTCTTTAGCTCAGATGTTGTTTTGCAATTGGACCAGATCAGATTGGAGCCAGCTGGTTCGGGAAAGATGAGTCTTTAGTCTCTACGTAATCTTTTTACAGCGTGTTACCCACTCAGAAATGCGTGCTTACCCTTCAGCAGCCTGCTCATTTCTCTTAGTTTTTGGAACTGGAGGCTTTTGGTTTTTTTTTTTCATCTAGGCTGGTCTTAGATGTGTGTGCTATCAGAACAGAAATAAAGCATTCTTTCAAATTTCCAATATATGGCATTAGTTATTTTTGACAGCGTGGCTACAAAAATATCTGTGCTGTGTTTCTTCTGGAACGTACTGCTCAGAATTGGGTGAAGCCTGGAAGAAAGTGGGCAGCAAAGCTGTTTCTGGTATGGATGGGAAAAAAAAAAAAAAAGAGAGTAGGCAGATTTAATTTTATTCTAAAAAAAAAAATAAAATAAAAGCATTTCAATTTATTAATCATTTAAAAATAATCGCTGTTAATCCAAGCCAAAGCTGCTCTTCTACCACAAATTTGCCTGTTTTATACTGGCTTTTTGGGACTAATTCTGTCCATTTCACATTGCAGATAGAGGTATCTACCTCCATGTTCTAGTTGAATCAAAAGTAGATCTCCTCTAGGACTACATGTAAATTGTCCTGAATTTTAATGGCAATTCTGTGTAACTTTATCAAGAACCATTTAACAAAACGTTTTTGTATTGCTATGAATTATATTAATGAGAGCTTGGATTTTTGTTTCACGTTTCAACCTCTTCTCTCCTGATTCCTTTTGTTTTCTGCCTTTCAGTTGGTCTTTTCCTGTATGTAGATGTTATGACAATCTAACCAGCCATGCAGAAAATACTTTTTGTCCCCATGCAGCAGCTGAGGAGAGGGAACAGACCAGAGCACACCGATTCGCATCACACAGACAGCAGCAGGAGCTGAACCCAGCGCTCACAGCTCTGCAGCAGTGGTTCTTGCTCTTTTCCAGGTGTCAGCTCTGTCAGTCGCTCCCACAGGCTTTATTTCTGAGATATTTGACGTGGTTCTGCTTGAGCCAAATGCTGCAGTGCTGTCATGCATGCTACCTGTGCTGAGCCTCCAGGCTCCTGCAGGACGGTGTGATTTGCTCACATCAGACCAGTTCCCAGGGCCCAGCCAGTGTTCTCTAAGCAGGTCCTGTGCATTTGCTGGCTGGGTTTACTTTCAGGCACCTTGAACAGTAACACAGAACTCAGAAACAATACAATATTTATTCTTTCATCCTTTCAATATATGGCAGCAGTGAATGAAGTAGAATCCTTTGTGCATAATTCCCGTTCTAGAAAATAACATACTTAGCCGTGAAAGTGTGATGTTCTCTGCCTGAACTGAAATAAACAGCTTACATCTTCTGACACATCCTTTCGCTCAGTCTGTCAGCTTTCTGTACTGATGTGCTGTTCTTACAGCTCCTCTCTGCAGGGCTGATGTTCAGACCTTGTTGTTTAAACTCCCTCGGATGCAAAGCAAAACTTCAGATGTCATCTGAGAAATCCTTTCACAACAATATAATTAACTCTTGTATTTGAAGAGCTGATTCTTATCTACGTATTTTCTGACCAGTGTCTAATAATGCCCTGTTTCTACGTGATGTTCCCTATTTATCCATCTGCTGGTGCTGGCAGTGGGGCAGAGCTGAGTGGGAGAACAAGCTGACATAATGCAGTGCAGATATTTCACCAGTTGATTCTTACATCTTGTGGAAAAGTTGGTCCTTATGGTCATGGTGGGATGATTGCCCTCTCTTTGCACGTGATAGAAGTCCTGGAATTCATGACTCTGACTGCATTTCAGGACTAGAGCCATGTAAATACATTCCAGATCTATGCACGCTACATTTGGGCAGATGTCCTTTAGTCTTCCACTTGGCAATCCTTGCAGAACGTGTTCCTGTTGGTGGATCAGTGCCACTTTGCTGTATTTCAGGCAGCCCCTTCCAATTTGCACTGACTGCATACAGATCTGAACCTTACCAAGATAACTTTCCAAGATTTTTCCTATAAAATCTCTTTCTTCCTTTAGCATCCAGGTGCCATGTCTAATCAGGTAAATTTTGCCTTCAGTGCTACACAAACATGTGTCTAAGTATCAGAGTGTTTTTTTCTTACAGACCCTTCGGGTCACTTGAGCCCTGCTTATCACCTCTCTGTATTTCTGTTTTTAACTTGTACTCCAACTCCACATCTTTATCCGCGATGCAGAGCAGCCCCGTGCCTTCCTTGTTTTTTCTGTTCTCTCCTCCCTGGAAGGAAGTCTTAGACTGAAGCCAAACGTGTAAAAGGGCTCTGTGCCAACCTGGGTTACAGCAGTGGTGCTCTCACAGCCAGCATCACAGCCCTGCGCCTGAGGTTCTGCCTGGACCAGTGGCTGCTTCCATAGGCTGCAGTGCCATGGCTGCTGTGGGATGCTCAGATTTGGATTTCTTTCTCCATTTTGCACTATTTCTCTGTAAATTCTCATCTAAAATATGTAATGTTCCTCTCCTATCCCCAGCAAAGCCTTGATTTCTGCCTGGATCTGGGGCTCTTCTTCTTTTTGCCTTTTTAAAAGCAGTTCCACTGTCCTGGGCCTGGTTTTTCTCATTGTTTTAGTGAAGGTATAATGGAATGTGACTATTCAAGGCATGCGACTTCATACTTCTGAATGAACTCATCAAGAATGGCTTAAATCAATAATTGCATGAAGTCGTAATGCGGAGCTGAAGCTGAGCATACTTTAACTGAAAAGCTCTCATTCTTGCACAAAGTTTTAATTAGCCATCCTGTCCATCTTTCCAGTTCAGTGCCTCAGAAAGGACACAAAGTTCTTTATGGACCAACGTTTCCATTAATTTGAGGGGTTTTGTGTTGTTGGTTTGTTGTTTTTTTTTTTTTTTGTTTGTTTTTTTGTGCATGCAAGAATTCAGATAAAAACCTTTGAGGTTCCAGCAAGTGTAGAAGAGAAAAACAGGAAAAGAAAGGAAGGAAAACCCCGTTCTGTGTGCATACATGGTACAAGCAAGCTGTGAAATAGACTTGCAGCATCACTATTTTGGGATTGTAATGGACTCTTAACCCCTGCTTCACTGCTGTTGTTACTGGAATTAAGCAGTGTTACAAAAACATGGGTGGCTTGCAGGGCAAGAAATCCCAGTCCAAAGAGGAAGCAAACCTGAGAAAATGCTTTGGCTGCAGATTTTTACCTTAGATCCAAGTTGCTCTGGGATATGTTTTGGTGCTCATCCTCACTAAGGCATTGGTTCTATTACAGAAGCATGCTTCTATGGCTGCAATACTTTCTGCTCGCTTTTGAAGTAAAGTGCAAAGGAAGGAGATGAAAAAATATTTACACGCACATGAGAACAGACCCCCAAGTCCTGCATGTTTCTACATGCTAGGTCACTGCAGATAGCAGATAAATACATGTTTATCAGTCCTGCTAGCTGTGTGATAGTCCAAGTTTGGGATCAAAAGGAAGAACAACTGTCCTTTACAAAGAAGAAAAGCCATAGGAGTAGACTGAGAGCTCTGAGAAGAGCAGGTGTTACTGAGGCATCATTTCAGGGCCTGTGGGCGTTACTGGGATGTCGAGGTGGCTGGGGGTGCTGGGTGCCCTTCGGCAGCTCCGTATGACTTGAAGTATTCTGTCCTTGCATGGTTTGTGCAAACAGAGGATGAGTACCAGGCTAGCACAGCTCTCAGAGAACAGTACTATTTCAGCAATGTTCATCACGAGCTCATCCTTTGGAGTTCCAATGCTCTTCTGTAATTTCAGTGTTGTCCTGAAGAGAATCATAATGTTGTAAAATAGACGGCATATAAATGTCGTTATGCTTATAATGAACACAGCAAGGTAAGCACGGATGTGCTGCTGTAAGGCTGGAGCTTCAGCAGGGGCTTCTTTAGCAAGGAGGGTGATAAAAGAGAGTATCTGAAGAAATGATGGGATTCCAAATCCAAGGGTGAATTTAACGATCTCGTATTCAGGCCATGCAAATAATGGATCCAGCTGGCAGTCTGTTTCCAAGTGGTAGTTCTCTGTGCCAACCAGCACTGCCTCTGTCAGAGCCAAGCAGAAGGCGCATAGCAGTACGCATCCAATGCACAGAATGGGGCGCTGGGTTACTGTGCTCAGGGCAGTCCTTGGTGGAAATCTCTTCAGTAACAGCATGAGAAGCATCAGCACCAAAGAGTGCTGAGAGCTGAAATAACTGAAGTTGAACAGAAATGACAGCACACTACAGGCCAGGTGGGTCACTCTTGTGTAGTCAGGTCTGTTGATGACTGTGAATGACAACAGAATCATTGTGATGTTGCTGATGGTGAAGTGTAGGAGAAGCGGGTCTAAGTGTTCCATGGCTTTGTTCTGCACGTAATTCTTTATGAAAATGACCAAAATGCACACGCCAGCTATCAGCCCTGTCGGCACAAAGAAGGCAATGTAACAGTGCATAAGTCTGGATATGATGTTTTGTGAAGCTATGAATGCTTCAATTTCTTCCAGGGAGGTGGAAGCCAGGCTCTTGCTTGGGTAGCTGATCCACGTCATGTTGTGAGCGCTCATCCTTTCTGCACAACCTGCTTGTTCCTGCCCGGGGAAGTTAGAAACTGAAATGGAAAAGGAAGGAGAAACAGGTGTTAATGTCTTTTCATTTGTGCATTACATACTTTGCAGAAAATGGAAATTTTTTGCACGTGCTCAAGCATGAGAAAATGATCAGCAGTGCATCATAAGCCTCCCAATGAAGTTCTGCCATAGAACGATTTTTGCAGCTGAGTTCTGAGCTCCTGAGATTTAACAGTAGCAGGGATGGGCTGCTGGCTCTCAGTGACCCTGGGATGTATTGATACAGTAATTGTGATACCTCTTGGTGTTTGCAGGATCCATCTGAAGCCCATAAGCTTCGTAGGGAAACATTGTATGTACTCAAGAAAAACCCAGTGTAGTAGATACATGTATATATGGTTTATATACCATTAAAAGCAAAATTGAGACACTTTGTTGTGCAGGTTGGTTTGGAAAATAACTCAGTAACAATTAATAACAAGAGTGCTACACTCGCAGCTGTGCTTAAGGCAGGACTCTTTCCTCCAAGTATTCTGGTGATTTTAGCTCTTACAGTGGAAGCAACTTTAAATTGGTGAAAGTTCATGAAGCTACATGGGTGTTTTTAGGCAGCGCTCATTATAGATAAGTCAGTGCCTTAATGCTGCTTGGCAGTTCGTTTGTGTTGTTACCTCTGACACTACTTCACATTGCTGATATTTTTAATCGCTCCTCACAATTGGAATTCTAATACTTTAATTCAAAAAGTTGACTTATCGAAGTGACTCTGATTAAGTGTATATGTATAATCTTATGTAATTATAATTGCATTTCTATCAAACCATAGAGTTATGTTTTGATTAAGCAGCATTCTTTCCCTCTCTTTGAAGTCAGTTTTCCCTTTCTGGAGGTGCTGTTCCAGGCAGGAATGCAGGACATGCATGGGGAAGTTCTGTGCCACAGAGGAGCAGTTGGCTTTGGTCCGTGTAGATTTAGATGCAAAGTGTTTGAGGATAAGGCCCAATATGCTGGGCTTTGAATACCAGTAAATTCCTCATTAATCAAGCAGCTGCTGTGCAGTCCGCTCCCCTTGGCTCCATGGCTGTTCTTTCATGTTGACCTGCATGTTTGAATGTACCTGTCTCACCTTTCAATTCTGCACAGTCACTGCAGCCACGGAGCTTGTCAAACCTTCTCCTGGCCTCCATCTGCTGCTTCAATTTCTCTTCATTGCCTGGAAATCCGAAGGCCACCAATGTCTGACTTCTGTAATGCATCCCTTCTTAAATACTCTGCAAGCAGTGTAAGTCAAATTTTGACCTTCCATTAAAAGAGAGGTGTGAAGCATAGCCTGATCCAGTGCCAGGATTGCAGAGGATGTGAACCACTTGAGCATCCCCAGAAACCTTCCTGCTCTTATGGGAAGCCAGCATCCCACACAGTACTTTCAGGAGGTTAAGAAACACTTCTGCTTTGAGCAGCTCTCCTGCCAGAGTCTCCAGGGGTCACCTTCCAGTCCTGTTGGCCGTGATGCAGAACCAAGTATTTCCATGGAGTTCTGGCTCTGTGAAGGTTTCTGTTGTCTTCCTGACAGCTTCCATCCCAGGCTGCACTCACTGGCCTTGCACAGCATCTCAGAGTAGCAGAATTGCCAAGGAAACAAAGGAAGCAACTTCAGGTTTCACAGGAAATCATACGGCCTTCCACCAGATTGCAGGAAAAACAAGGTGCCAAAACTTGTTGAAAAGTGCTCAGGATCTGACTTTGGTTCTGATACTGGGTTCATCTTTGAAGGTATTTCTTTTTAATTTCCTTCATTAATTGAATTTCAATTCAGGGGAAAATAATACTGCGACTGTAGAAGTTAAAGTTTGGACAAAAGGAAAAATTCTGGATGCATTGTCTTAATGGGAAATTCCAGAAAATTATCCATATTACCAAAATCTTGCCAAAGCACTGAGCTGTTGGCAGCTCTGCAGTGCTCAGTCTGTACGTGCAGGATGCTTGCTGGAAGTCAATCAAGTGTTCGTGCAGAAGAAAAATAGCTCCATTTTCTGTTGGTCATTGCTAGCAGTTGTAGTATATTCTGAAATCCTTGCAGGCTAGTCAAATAAGATTAAAGTTTATAATGCAGATTGTTACTCTTTCTTAAGTTATTCCAAGCGCTGTCTCTGTTCTGCTTTTAGAAAGTCACAGTGGTAATGGCAGACTGTTCTCTTACTTGATTTTGATGCCTCACTAAGTATTTGAAGGAGAGCAAATGGCAGTTTTGCATTCTGGATGTGCTAGGAAAGACTTGTGTGCCCATGGTTGCAAACAAACGTGCCTGATATTTCCTGCAAGCTGATACTGGGATGCTTTTTCTCTGCAGTGCACTCACTCAGATGTCTATTCCTGCTGTATCACACCATCCCCTAAAGCTGCTTGTTTTCTGCCATGTCTTGTCTCCTTGTACCTTCTTGGGGAAATGGCTCTTAGCAAGGAGTGCTGCTCGTCACCTGCTGCAGTTGCTGTGTTGGCCCCTGTGGCTGAGGCCCTGCCAGCAGCCCCCCCATCCCTCACATCCTGCATCTGGGGCTGAATAAAACTGGGACAGATGGTGTAACCTTTCTGTGCATCTGTTTGTATCTAGAGCTTTAGGGAGCCCTTCAGCCTCAGTGCTTCTCTACCGTAGGAAACAACTGTTAGAAATTCTAAGTCTTGATGGTTTTGAAACGTTCCCAATGTTCTAAGTTCATTCCTTGCACTGAACTGAATGTGGTTGCTCCCAGCACGTCACGTTTGTGCTGTGCTTGCTGGGCCGGGTCCTTTTCTGCTTCCTGGAGCTGCCATTGTGCCCTGTAAATGCCTCAGGATGTGGATGAGTTCTTCCTCTCAGCTTATTAGGGGAGAACTGACTTCATCATTTCTATTTAGGCACTGGTGACTGAGACCACTATCAAAATATCCCATCTGAGCTCTCGTACATGGAAGCTATGCAGAACTCAGGCCTTTTCCTCAGGTTAATTAATGAGGGAAAGTCACAACACGCTGTTTGCATTGTGGTTTCCTGCATTGCCTTTCTCTAAAAGCCCATCCTCTTCCTCACCTCTGTTTCCTCCCCACTTTGTTTTACTTGACAATCATTTGCACGCTGTTAGTCCTTCCTTCATGTAGCTTCAATTTTGGTTCTCTGGGGTTTGTCTCTGGCACTGTTTCCCCATTTGTGTCCACCATGCCTTTTGTGCCAGAGATTGAAGTGAATATATTTAATTTCCACTTTCTGAAGCACAGCTCGTGCATTCTGCTTCACTTCCCACAGGTGGAGCTGAGGAAATGAGCACCATGTTCAGAAGTAGTTGGAAAAATAGCAAGCTGTGAAAAGCAGCTTTCAGTAATGAGAGGACCCAGTCTGCAAGGTTCCATTGCTTTCTTACCCTCCCGTGCAATGGATGGTTAACTGCTGCGGTTGGAGAGCTTGGTCTCAAGGAAACTTCTGTTTATTTAAAGTCTAGAAAGAAGAGTCCCTAAAACAGGGAGTTTCTTGCTGGCAGCTGAGCTCTCCCTCTGTAAAAAGCTTGGGCAGGGCAGTTGGTCTGCCAGCAGCTCAGAGAAGGAGAAAATTCTTTCCCCCCATCATCCAGCAGTGCACACAGCACTCCTTGTGTGAGTGGGCATGGGCTGCACCGCCCCGCAGAAGCGATGCTGGCGCTTTGGGGGTGGGGGGGTTCACACGTGTGGATTTGTCCTTCCTGCTCTGGCTAGGTCTGCCAAATGGTGGGAAAAAAATAAAGAGGGAGTGGAGGATTGCACTGAAATGCCACTTTCTTCTTGTTGTAGTGCACAATTCCTACGCTTTGGAAAGTATTTGAGGCTAAAGACTTCAGAAATCCTAACCATGACTGCTGAGAAACTGAAAGCTTTTCTTTTCTCTTTCCCAGAATATGAATCAGCTATAACTGAGCATAATCTACACCAGCACTGCGGATGCGTTTCCTGCCTATAGAACCCTTACAGCGCTGTTAGGATTATCCAAAAATGTCCATCCCTCAGCAGACTGCTCCTAGGGAATTGTGAAGTCCCTCATCCACACCACTGAATGGGATTTCATCATCTGTCCATGTCAGTTCAGTAGGAGTAATGCATTTAGCAGAAAGCAGTTGTCAGATTCACTCTGTTTAATGCTCGGCTTTATTCAGCTCTACGAGGGTGTTTCTCAGAGACACCGTTTCATTTTGTCTGGTTCAAATCTTGTTAAAGAAGCAAACATTAAAAACTTTGTGAAAGACAACCACAGCTTCACCATTTGATCCTCTGGTGATGAATAAAACATCGCATATCCGAAGTAAGATAAAGCACTTACCTTTCCAGGACAATGCTCCACAGATACAATTAGCTGAGACTTCCACTGTGAGTAGTCAGATGAATTACAGTTACTGTTTGGAGGATGTAGCCTTTCTATTTATGCAGACAGCAGCGTGTGTATATCACAGTAACTTCTTTGGCTGTTATAAATCGCGATGAAAACTCCAGTTGCTTGCTGACTACAAAAACATTCAGTTCTGCAAGGGAAACAGGAACTGGGTTTACATCATTCAAACCGTACACGTTGCATGCTTAGCAAACCTATGATTTCACCATGTGACTTTAAAGTTCAAATTATCCTCTGCAGGGAGATATTTTAGAACAGAAAAGTAGTGTTTGTTGCAGCCATTTCTGAGTCTGTGAGGCCATCCAGTGGAATTTTTTTCCTGCCCATGAAGCAATCCTACACGCATTGCCCAGCCTTTGCAATTACTTTTTTTGGTAAGTGTGCTGTTTTAATTCCTAGGGCTCTTGAAAAAGGAAAGCCAATTGAGTACGTGCAGATTCAAAGCCCATACTGAACTGGGCAGCTATGTGACAACAAAATACTTTGTGTCACAGTTTAAAAATACAGTGTATTTCTATTTCTGCATGGGTTCTGGCTCTTGGAACACCCCCAGGGTTGTGTGCATTCAACGAACTGTGTTTCCAGATGCTCTGCAATGACCATGAGGTGCTAAAAGCCACGATTTTGAGTCCGTAATATGTTTTGAGTTGGGCTAAGCATCGATCTTCTTAGTGACTGCTTAATAGTACTCTCAAAACCTTAGATGGAAATGAGCAAGAAAGGCTTGGCTCATGGTTATTCCTGTGCACACAGCCTTGTTGCTTGGAAGGCATCAGCTGCACCGTGCTTCCTCAAAGGAGCACATCAGTGGCAAAGCGTGTTTTTCTCTAATCTTGTAATAATCTGCTGTAGCTTTGGTCAGTGCTTCCTGTCTCCGTGGTGTTTTACCTGTTGTGCTTTAGCAAGCTTTACTGAAAAATACATGGAAAAATCCAAAACACTTCAAGAAAATGGAATAAAACCAATGCACCAGAGTGCAGGGCTCAGAATGGGGCTTGCAGGTTGGCTGGAGGCACAATGTCAGCTGAGGTTTGTGCTTCCACCTGAGGGTGAGCATTGCTGCTGCAAGCACTTCTCTCAAACCAGATGTGGGTTGCTTTGGGCTCTGTGAAGTAGCTGTGCTCCAAAACAGTTCTTCAGTAGCTCAGCAGCTCTGTGAAATGTGGTTTTCTAGGAGCCTGCACTTGTTGTTCAGAACACCCCAACTCCCACGTAGCTTTGTTTTTGAACGTCTCAGCATAGTTGTTTGTTGGACTGGGTGCATTGTTTCCCTTTCATTCTTAATAGTGTTTCCAAATTGCTTCTGAAAAGCTGGAAGCTGGCTGGGTGGTGTACATGTTCTGTATGGCACAGCTGGTCTGGAGGTGTACCCAAATCCTTGTTTCTTCTGGTGGTATCAATTTCACACAATAAGCAAGGGTAAATGAGTGCAAGTCAGGCAGATGTGTTTTACTGTTGATTTTCCATGAGCTAATCAAATTTGGAGTGTCACCTTATCCATTATGTAAGATGTAGGGCTGCACAGAGAATGCATGAACTGCATGAACAATCCAGTGGTTATGCTGGAAAGGCAAGAAAGTTTTAGGAAGTGGCTGGTCCTCAACTAGGAGATACTAACCTGCCTTTTTGGGTTTCAGAACAGACTGTGTGCACACATGGGGTAACACTGAACAGCCCAGCATCTGCCCTGCTCTGACAGCACAGGGTACCTCACCAGCACTTGGTTCTGGCTGGGACAACCTGCTGGGGTTCATCTGTTCCCAATGCACCCTTTGTGACTACTAGAAAGATAGAGAAAAATCAGTGCCTGCACCGAAAGTTTAAGGATGATTCAGATTGCCCTTTATAAAGCTTTATTCTGAGGTAATTAACAGCCAGTTGGTGAAGGAGGAGTAACTGGAGTGAAGAAAGCCCCAGCACATCAGCAGTGAGAATGCATTTCCTGTGTTTCAGTAGCAGCTTTTCTGCTAATGCAAGGTGTGAAGAAGAGCTTGGAAGGAGCTTGTCTTCTAATGAGAAAAAGAACTAGAACTTTTCTAACTAGAAAAGAGAAAAGCTTTTTCTTACACATCCTTTTTTAACGACAACAAAAAACAAAGGGAAAGCTTGCATCTCCAAATTTATGTTCATGTTTTCAAATGTTATTCCGTATCGTGTGTTGTTATCCAGCTGTACCTAAAGGAAAGAATGCTTATCATGCTTCGACTTGGGAGCAAGCAGCATGTTACAGTTTCAGAATACGTGCACTGATTCAAAGAAGAACATTAGAAAGTGTCCATATTCTATGGGAAGTTTGGGTACTGAGAAATTTGGTGTCCCAAATGGGTGGAAGAAACTGAGAGCCGTAAGAGAAACAGAGGTCAGGAAATCAAGGTTTCCCAACTTCTTACTCCATATTCTGTTCTGTTGGCATCCTAACAGCTACGCAGGGTGGTTTTGGCAGCAGCCCAGGGTGCTGTTACTTTGCTGTTACTTTCACAGTTTCTGCACTACTGAAAGAAAAGCCAGACGTTGCTGTTGTGAGACCAGCTGGGTCTTCTCTTAGACAATGGATCAGTTCAGTTCCGTCTGCTTAAATGATCACAGGGCACAAGTCATGAGAACAGTGGCAAACTAGTGTGGGGTTGTGTGAGCCTTCAGAAAAGTGCGAAAACAAAGGTGGTTAAATGTCTGTTTGCATTCTTTTAGCACTATTTGTATGAGTGCTGTTGATTAATGATTAGCACGTGTGTGTGCTCTCAGTGGATGAGGTGAGCGTGGTAATGATGTTCTGTGTAGGGCTGAGGCAGCCTTTCTGATGGAGGGCTATTAACGAAAGCATCCCTTTGTTTTGGAACATCCAATGGCTGTTACTGCCCGTTCCCCAGCATGCTGTGATGAAAAGCAATGTTGTGTTACTGGAATTACAAACTGAAAAACAATCCATGTTTTTCCCTGAAGTTATTTTTCTTGACTTATCATGTATTTCCATCTCAGTTATTCCTCTAATGTAATTATCCAACAAAAAATAACCTGGGTGTGGGTGGGATGCTCACCACAGGAGGCTGGGGGAGGTTCAGTGTGCTGCTCAGGGGCTGAGCTGGCTGTGCAGAGTTTCTCTTGGTGGCACTTGGGCACCACGGGGCTGCTTGTGTCAGTGTGCTGAGTCCTGATTCCTGCACAGGGGAGCTGCCTTGGGCTGACATTTTCTTGAATAATCTATTCAGATGTATTATTATTATTATTACTGTTAGAGTTTTTTGTTTTTTTTTTTTTTGAGAAGAGCATCTATTCTAAGTTTCTTGTTATACTGACATACAGTTGCAGAGTCACTCTGAAATTGTTCTTCTTGCTTAGTCAGCTATTCAGCAGCAAGCAAATTTGAGTCCTCAATTAAAAGATCGTGGAACTTCAGGCCTTTGAGGTGAAACATAAAGCCAAACAGAACAACAGCGGAATCCGTGCACAAAATCAAGAGTTGCCAGCTTGGAGAACTGAAGGAGTTCTGCTTGAGGATGAATTTTAGAATAAAAGCCATGTCTTTGTTTTTTCTGTGTTCGCTGCATGTTGTTGGGTTTTTGTTTGCTTGTTGGCTTCCTGATATCTTGATCTGTAAGTGGAACTGAGATGTGTCTGCTTCTGCCATGTAACTGCAGCAGATGGGTCTCAGCGGTGGCATTTGGATATGTGGATGCTTCGAGCTCCTTTGGTCAGCCCGCTGCACAGCTGGTTCATCTCCTCATTAGATAGACAGACTGATTGTAAGGTACGTGGAGCCATGTGGATTTGTGGAATTTAAGCTGTCTGCTTGGGTAGGGTTAAAAAAGCACGAGCTGGTGATGTGGGTACATAGGCACTGGGATTAATAATTGCCTGTGCCTCTGAGGCTGCTCCTAAATCAACACTGAGCCTCTTATTGTAGAACAGCCGTGCTCTGTGCTGCGTTACCACTGCCGTCACATCTCAGGATTGCTCACTCATGATTCCCCATTAGTGATTTTATATTGGCTTATTTGGGCATTGTTTGCTGTTCTATAAACAGTATTTTTCTTATTGTTACTCTGCAGTGATGTTTCCATCAATCTAAAGGTAAATTCCTCCATGTGGGTAGATGTGCAGGTAACTCCTCAGTGGGGGCTGAAAATGGCTGTATTTCCAAATAATGCCGTAATGAGGGGTGGAAAACATCTTTGTCTAACAGCAGCTTCTATAAAGGAACGGGGCTCCGTGTAGCACTGCAGGTGTTAGAATGGCTATTTAATTTACATAGGCTGAGCTGAAAGGTTTCAGAAACTTCTCTATTAATAATGAATGAAATCTATTTCATTTTGAATTAGTGAAAGCGTAACTTAATTAGGAAGAATTACGATGCTCTGGAGCTGGCTGGGAATGGCACTGCTTTTGATCTCTGAGCATCTTCTCTATGCAGTGCTTGGTACCAGGTGTTCAGAACAAACACAAGAAACACAGGCTTTTTTTTTTTTTTTAATAAATATTTATGTCTTTTCAATAATCAGATTTCATAGTCCGGTTAGATGTCCTGTGAGGTTAAAAAACACATTGAACATTGTTGAGGATTGTTTCTTGCAACAGAATTTTATGTACCTCGCTGTCTCAGCAGTGCTGCAGAAGTGATGGCTAATTTTGTTTCTCCTTCCATGTGCTTGCAGACAGGACCTGCTGGTACATACATTTATAACCAGCAGCTGGTCTGATCTTGTTTCCATTGTGAACATGAATCGTTTGACTCGTTCTGTGGATCAAACCATCTTTGTGACACGCAGGATTGTTCTGTTAGTGACCACCAGGTGGTGTTTGTACAACAGTTTTGATCCCAGAATGAACATCAGGAATACCATTTATCTGGGAGGTGAGATAAAAACAAGTGTGGGAATTCTACCAGCTTCAAGATAATTTTTAGCTTAAATTTGCAGATGTACATGCTAAAATTAGGGTTTAAGTTTTGTTGTATTGCTGGTAACACATAGACTTGCATAGAAGTGATAAATCAAAAAACCTCCTATTGAAATCGGGGGGGATTTATGATTTTAAAAACCCCTTTAAATTAGGGGATCAATTCTGCATTTTTAGACGTTAACTTGATCCGGAGTTCAGAGCTTTCCTGTATAATGGCAGCATTATTCCTGCTGTTGGCTCTAAGTATATTCACAGGTACCTTAGGATGGCTCTAATTAGGAACCTGTTCCCTTTCCTAACAATCTTTTCTCCAGCCCTCTGAGCTGAGAGTGTCTGTGCTGCTGCTTATTTCTGTTTTCACACAAAGCAT